TAGCCTCTTGGAGCAGGAACGACATGATCCTGTCATGTTCACATTAACAGTTGACGACTAATAGTGAGTTGATTCGCTGTCAGTGGTTCGCAGACAGAGAGCTCAATGTCCGAAAGGGGAAGAGGCGAACTTGGGGGGCGTGAAACTGCCTCTGTTTCAGATTCCTCGCTTCTAGGCAGGGGGGTCTCTTCCAGCTCCTCCAGCAGTTCCATATCCCCCCTCGACGAGACCCTTGATGCGCTACAACGTAGCATGAGCACCAGTCATTGTAGGGCTTCGACGACGATTGACGACAGCACAAAATCCGCTCGTTGTGGGCAGCCGGGGATGGAATCAGGGCAGGCAGCCAGCGAGAGGGCTCCCAGTCCCAAAAGTGTGCGCTGGGGGCCAGGCAAGGCCCTGGCAAGCGAAGAGAAAATCCCCGTCGTTAGTACCCCCTGCGCATGCAGCTGAACATCTGGTCTGCTCAACCGAATTCCCCGCTTAAAGGGTGGCCCCTTCGATTCAGCGGGGAACCAGATGGCCCAGGCAGGGGGAGTCAGGTTGCAGTGTCAGGGGACGCTGGCCCCGGTGCCTGTCTATCAGCATGTGAGGGTCTCGGCACTGGGAGAGAAGCAAAGAGTGATAGGCAAACATTGCTTTCGCACCTGCAAACGAGTGGCTGTCGCAATCCGCACGCCGTTGCTTTTCTTCATGTCGTCGGTGGAGGGACCGTTGATCGTTTGAAATCAACCGTCCACCGGTCACCGTGCCGCACAAGTACCGATGCTGGACCGAACTCCGGGATGCACGACTGAGCGGATCCACTATCAGCCCGGTAGTGGACAGGCAAGTACACTGCCACCACGGTTCCCCCGGCAAGTGACTTATGACGTGTTAAGGTGTTTTTTTTGGGCGGTACCTGGGCAGAAGCCACGAGGCACTGCAAGGGCAGCATCAAGAACAGCCGCAATAAACGGCGGGCTGGCTGGCCGCAGCGATGCTCCCTCCCACTTTCCATCTACTCTGTATGCCGCACATACAAACGACAACCCACAAGCTTGATGGCATACTGGACCAGGGCGGGTATACCGAGGTCGATAGTGAGTAGAGTTGGCTATCCGATGGGCACTGACTGAGGATCCTGTAAATTGAGTGCCCGTACGGATACCACTTAATTCTCTACTTCTATTTTCAACGGGGATCACCCATCACTGACTCGGGGGAATCTTGTCGATCAACGTGTCTTTGCATTTTTGATTTGGCTTGGCTTGGCCTTGTCAAGTGACAGCAGACAATGCGCACAATGGAGAAAGAGGGGTTGGTTCTTAGTGATACACTGCGTTCTTGTTGTTGTTCTGGCATGTCTCTGATGTCTCTCGTACCTAATGCCGTCCTTCGCTCGGTGTACGTCGGTGAGCTGAGTTGGCAAGGTGGGTGCCCGTGCCAGCGTTTACCGATCCAGTCTCACCGGCTCGACATGCCCGTTGCATGTCTCGCTTTCGGCTGCATTGTCTGCCTTTCCGCCCATTTTTTGTTTCTTATTCGCCCTTCTTAGTCAAGACATCACAATGGATCAAACGGTGGACTGATGTGATGGCCCAGAAAAAAAATTGTCTTGGACCACCTGGTAGTCGCAAGTGCCGCCCGGCCTGTGGGAAAAGGAATTCCAAGGAGCCTGGAAGCCCGATCAAATGGACGAACCACGCATCGCGAACTGACTGCCCCTTTCTTACGCTCTCTCCGACCCCTGCTCTCAGGATGCTGGCCTTGCCGAAAGCCGTGGGACTTTGGGACTGTCGAAAAAAATACCCCTGCACATCATCGACCCTCTTTCCACCCACCAGTCCGATCCCTGACCATTTTCTTCTCTCTTCAACTCATCCCCCCATGCTCATTGGGCTGGGTGGACGGGAGAGGCTCACAGCGCGACAGCGGCGGCGACACCATCACAGTCCAGTGCCCCAGTTGTTCCCGGTCTTATTCCGCCCCCTTGCCCCCTTTGCATGTTAGTCTACGTAAGGAATGACTACGACTAGCCCCTGCCTTCAGCGGTCGGCCGGGGGTCTCGCGGAGGATGAGAGCCAGAGACAGCAGGACTCACGAGGAGCGTCGTCCGAAAAGACATTTTTGGGCCAATGTGGTGAGGCGATGTTGCGCCGCAGCGTGACGTATCTTTTTGCGAGGGTATGAGAGGGATCTGAGTGGCCGCCACCGCGGCCTTGGGCGAGGGCCGCGATAACTGGCCACCTCCAGTCTCCAAATCCAAGGTTCGATCTGCCCTGATTGGAGGCCGCCTGTGCCAAAATAGGACTTGGTCTGGAATGGGCTGGGCCGCAAATACCGATGAGGCTTTCGCCTTTCGCGCTCTACTGACCTCGCATGGCGTGTTCTGACTTTGGATCCAGTCAGTGCATACGTACGGGTGATCTTGATCTGTCAGTCAGCATCGCATCTGTCTTCTGTCTGCCAGAAAAAAAAGTAAGTCTCCATTCAGCTAGGCGAGGCAAATTCGCGTAATATCCGTGGGTGCCGGTGCGCTTGTATATCGCCTATTCTATTCTATACTCGGACGGTCAGATAGGGTGGTATGCGTATTGCGCACACCAACATGGGGAAATTCTATGCAGTACTTTGTGGTAGGTAGGTAAAAGTAAGGATGAAATGACTGAGCCTTGTCTGGATTTAGCAGGCAACCAGAACGATTCGGGGGGCATCGCTGTCGCTGCTGATCTCACTCTTGGCGGCTATTTGGACGTATGAACTGGTGCATGGTAGATGGATGGTAGATGGATGGATGCAATGGCTGACCGTTTGTTTCTATCTCAGGTGTTGCGACTCACTGCTGCATGCTGTGCTCACTTCGCAGATGGTGCCTTGCAGTAGCCTCCGCCCTTTTGGTGCTTCTCCTGTCTTGAAAGCTGCAGCTCACGCGCTTCCTGCCGCCATTCCCTCTAGTCAGGGCCAAAGGCAGAGTGTAGCAGTGCTCTGGAAGGAAACACATGGTTGCACACATCCTCCATCTTCCCGTGCCCCTTTCCTGATCTGACGCTGCACGATGAGGTACGTACCGGCTGCAAGTGCGTGGCTAGTGTTCCCTACGGATACAGCTTCGAGGTACGTACTGTGTGTAGCGTTAGCGGGGCAAGGAACGTGCTTTTTTGGTGCCTCCGTTAGCGTGGCCCGAGCAGCGAATGGCAGCCAGTCCTCGAGCGGGAGTGGTAGGAGTACGTCCCTTTCCTCGCACCCAGGCTCCCACACCGCACCCTTGGTGGCTGCTTCCTCCTCCCTGGTTCCCTGCCCCCCTGTCGTCTTGTCCCGGACCTCGTCTCCTCCCTGGTAGCGACTAGTCCTTAGTGCTTCTTCTCGGTGTCACTTGTCTCTCTTCCCACATCCTCCCAGCCATTCATCCGCCCCGTCAACGACAGCTCGAAAAACTCCTCTCCAATCCCTCCCTATACCATCAAAACCACTTCATCGTCGGTCCACAGATGCTCCCTCCCTCTCCCCCGCCTTTGGCTGTCCTTGGCTCCTCCTTAAACGAGCCTAACATGCCTAGTCAGGGGCATCCACCGCGAGAAAAACACGCACGATGCGCCTTGCTGCAAGGTCCCCGTCCCTCCAAAGTCCCATCCAGGAACATGGCATGGTCCTAGCAGCCTTTACCTTACACCTTAAGCCGTACCTTACGCAGTACGTGCCGTGGAGCCTGTTCTTACTACGCAGTGTACTGCCTGCCGTATGTACCTCATCCTCGAACACCCACAACCACACACGCACACAACTGCCAGATGCCCCGATCATCCTTACCCACCCCTGCCTGCTCACAAGAATGTTTAGTCCGGTCTTTCGTGCCATGTCGAAACAGGCCGAGGGGCTCCTCTCCCGCCTATCACAGCCTCAAGCCCATGCCTCTCCTTCTTCAACGCCTGGCCCCTGTCCCCCTCGGGCGATCCACCATGCCTCGAATCCCCTTGGACTGCGCTCCACGACTGGGCTTGACTGGTCGACCTGCTCAACGCCTGTCTAAAAGAACGCCATGTCTCTCCCGTCCCAAGTGGACCGATCTAGTCCAGCTCTCCATCCTCCGGTCCGACCTTCAGTCTATCCTTCTCCAATCGTTCTGGGATAACCGCCGTTCTTTGCAGCCGTGCTAAGTTGCTTTTTGCCTCTCGTTTCCACTTTCATCTCTAGTCCTTCTCTAAGCTCGGCATACTCTGCCCGTGGGCCTGCTCACTCACTACTTTCTACATCCCCATCGTATCTTTTCAGCTCGCCCTTCTTGTATTATAAGACCCGGACCTCGTCCTACCTCGAAACACCCTTTTTTTGTTCCCCATCCTCTTGGACAAACACATCTTCTCGCATTCCTTCTGTGGGCTTTGGAAAGGCTTGTCGTTTCGACATCTTACCTTCTCTCTTCTATCATTCAACAAGGCTAGTCCTTAGTACTTTTCAACTTTCTATCAGCCAACCCAACTCGCCTGGTGCATTACCATCCTTCACGGAACCCAAAGACAACGATACGAAACTTCGAGACCCATCGACCTTTCCGATTCTCAACTTTCACTCCAAACTTTTCAAACAATCCGCAACGTCCAAGCTTCCAGCAGACAAAGCGAGAAGATACTGTAAGTATACGGAATTCTGCAGCATCACAGCATCAAAGGGACGGCACGGGACCTGGGCCACTTGGCTTGCTTCTCTGCCTTTGTTAGACAAAGCGGCCCGTCACTGTGCGACTCACAATGTCATTGTTCGGGAGCATCGTCACACTGAGCTTGTTGCGGTTGTGACCAGTCACTTCGAGTCGGGCCTGCTGAGGAACAAATGCGCTGTCATCGAGAACATGCTGGATCGATGAGACGAGTTCGAGTCTAAGCTAACTTGTCTTATAAAGTGTCAAGAGAACCAACGACTTTGATCGACCACCAAACAACTTACAGTCACAACGACAACCCACACTGAGACCCTACCGTCTGGAACGTTTAGATTCTCATCACTTAACAACAACACTCACCATGTACGCTCAAGCTATCGTCGCTTTCGGCCTGGCCACCCTTGCCAGCGCCCACATGAAGATGAGCTCCCCTGCGCCCTACGGAGCTTCCAGCCTCAACAACAGCCCTCTCGATGCCAGCGGTTCCGACTTCCCCTGCAAGCAGCGTACCGGTGTCTATGATGCTGAGGGTGCTTCCAACGTCTACGCCCAGGGTGCCGGTGGTCAGCTCGCTTTCATCGGCTCTGCCGTCCACGGCGGTGGCTCTTGCCAGGTCTCCATCACCTACGACGCTAAGCCCGACAAGAACTCCGTCTGGAAGGTTATCAAGTCCATTGAGGGAGGCTGCCCTGCCAAGAACGCCGATGGCAACCTTGGTGACAACGCCAACCAGGAGAACCAGGACAAGTACGACTTTACGATCCCCGAGGACATGCCTGCCGGCAACGGTACCATTGCGTGGACTTGGTTCAACAAGATTGGCAACCGTGAGATGTACATGAACTGCGGCCCTGTCACCATCACTGGTTCTGCTGGCTCTCAGAGCGCCTACGAGGCTCTGCCTGACATGTTCGTCGCCAACATCAACGAATGCAAGATTCAGGACAGCACCAACGTCGCCTTCCCCAACCCCGGAAAGGCCGTTGACACCTTCGCCAGCGCCTTGGTCACTGCTACCTGCGGCGGCGCTGCTGGTACTGGTGGCAGCGGTGGCTCCCAACCCACCAGCACTGCTGGAGCCGGCAACGGAGGTGGTGCTCAGCCCACTACTGCTCCCACCTCTGCTCCCGCTGTTTCCCAGCCCGCCGCTTCTTCCAAGCCCGCTGCTTCCTCCAAGCCTTCCGCCTCCATTCCCGGCGGCGTCTTCATCACCGTTCCCAACGGCTCCGGCTCTACCCCCACTGCCTCTGCCACTGCCTCCGTTTCCAAGGCTCCCGCTGCCACCGCTGCGCCCAGCGCCGCTCCTTCTTCTGGCACCGGCTCCGGCTCTGGCTCTGGCAACGGTACTGAGACCGGTGCTGGCGCGCAGACTGTCGGTGCCGCTTGCACTGACGAGGGAGCCTGGAACTGCATTGGCGGCACTTCTTACCAGCGCTGCGCCAGCGGTGCCTGGTCTGCCGTTCAGCAGTTGGCTTCGGGCACCTCTTGCACTGCTGGTATGGGCTCTTCTATCAACATGGTTGTGACCCGAAACGGTCGCAAGCGTGCCCTCCGCTTCCGTTCTCACGCCTAAGCTGGTCGATGGCGAACACTCCTTTTTATGAACGGTTTAGCATTTACGGGATATGATACCTCGGGGCACATTGGATACCTATCTTCATGATCATACATACAGGTTACGGCACAAAGATTCGCGGCGTTTGATTTCTTCTGAACATTTACAATTTCTGTATATACCTTGTACAATTTCCTTTTTCTTTCATTGGCATGGTCACAAAAGGCTAGATGTCTGCATTAGCTATCATGGAAAAGTAGCATGAGATCATTCGTAGCAAATACACTTACTACATCAACTTCATCGTTCCACTTGTATCTAACACATGTGACCTCAAACAGAGCCGTCGCAAGACTTCAAACGGTCGAGAAAGGCGTGCAAAGCTCACTCATCCTGCACACCAAGTTCAAAGCTCCTTGAAGTCAAAGCGTTTCGTTCTGGCCATTAACAGCTCAGAGTCCGATAAACTGATGTGGCCACTCCGACAAACCTCAGTTCAGGCAGACAGGGCCGACCTTGAAGCTAACGGGGGACCTCGTGGGGTTTGGAATATTGCAAGGAGCTTGACATAACTTAAACCTTGTGGGCACAACAAGCAGCGGACCGACGTTGAGAGGGTGTGAAATGAATTGTGAGCCGCTCCTTGTCGAGCTGAAAGGCTGACACATGGAACTTCAGACGAATCGATGCGCATGGACAAGATCGACGCGACAGCGGAAACATGTACAAGTAGAAATGCACTAGACAAAGTGTATTCATGTTTTGTTCTGTGTTTCTATCGAGTCCAATGACTCGGGCGAACAGCACGTTGCATGCTATATGCCGGTGACAGTTCGAACCGAGACGCTCCCAATATCATCCACCATCTGCGGCTGAATCCCATACAGTAGCCAAACCTCCAAAATTCGTCTCCAATATCCCAAAGCTCAAAAGGTTGAATTATCGTGATTTCGTAAATTCATCAATCATCGTTGCACTCGTCGGGTTTTCGTCGGTGTCGGTGTCGCGGTCGCGGTCGCTGTCGGTCTCGTTCGTCTCGCCCACTCCTTCACAACCAAGTGTCACCCCGTTTTCCTTTCCTACGCCCCAGCACCCGTCTCATCAATCCCGTCCTCGGTTCCGTGTCGCCTTTCCTCAGCGCAGATAGTTTCACCGGCACAACGTACGGATCCATCTCTATGCCCACATGAGCTCGGCCGTCGTCGCCGACATATCGTCCGAAGCTGAAAGTCGCGTCGCTTAGACTGGCCGGGCCTTCATACTCGCGCACCACGCGGCTCGGAGCCACGTAAGCGAGGGTTGATCCGATGGTCGTGGGCACTCGCGGTAAGAAGTGCTTGATGTTGCATCCGTACAGGGCGATCGCAACGATGATGTTGAGGCCCAGGACGAAGAGGCTGATGGCGAAGGCGGTCCTGTCCATGAAGATTCTAACTTCTGTCCTGCGACATTTGCCGGGCATCGTTACGGGCTCGGTATAGTTGTTGAACCACTGAGTGTTGAGACCAAGCATCAAGGCGTAGAGCTGGCGGTAAATCCGTTCGATCGGGGGAATCAGGGCCGTCGTGTTCGGGGTCGAAAGCGGGTCGAGGACGTCGGGACCGTCGGGTTGGATTTTGATAAGATAGTTCATCCAATCATACGTGAAGCTGTCGTTGTGCCAATCGGTGCTTGAATAATTAATGATTCTGTTCAGATACGTCGATATGGTGTCGGTGTTATTCGTCGTCAACGGATCGTCAAGAGTAGACGACGACTCGGATATTTGGACAGCTTTCAGAATATATCCTTCGGTATCGACCGTGACGTTGAACATGCTGGTGGTGAAGATTGGCTCACAGATGACGGACCATGTTTCCATTTCCGTCCTGTTCGACAACTTAATGTTCGGGCTTCGTGACCAGCCAAGGATGAGTGGCACATCACAAGGTGCGTTTCCAAACTCACCCGAGAACTTGGCGATTACTTCGGCAGTAGAAGGCCCCAATGGATCAGTGGGATGTCCTTTTCCGGTACGATTCAGGTCCCGGAATTCGAAAGATGTAGGGCAACCAGAAACGGGCTGACCGTTGCGCATGTAAGTGTGATTCACAACAGGGCCCGAACCTGTGCTCTTTAACGTGTCGAGCTTAGAGCAAGAAGGCCGAACTCCAAACCCCCTCGTTTGAGCTGTGAACTCTTTGCTTCCGCCTTGTTCTTTTGAAGCCATCGAGAAAGGCTGGAAATAGTAGTCGTTGCCAATCCAAGGCGGCAGTGGTGTTCCCTGGGAAACATTGTTCATGGTTACATACATCGGCGTTTCGTACCGAATCGGGCCTCCGGAGAAAGTGAACTGGGCGTCGTATCCCCAGACAGTGTCATTGTTGAACGTCGGCTTCAACGTTTGCTGGAACTCGCAGGCATTGTCGACGACGATGGATCGCTCATTGAAGAGACCACCGAGGCCAACGGCCAGTAGATTCGACAGAAGGGCCAGCATGCAGATCGCCACCAGAACGAGGTGGCCAGATCTTGCAGCGCGCCAAAGTACGAATTGAGGCGGAACAGACGTATACCTGGCGTTTATTGACCCCTTCGCGGGCCGTTGACCAGACCACAGATCCTTGAACGGTTGTAGGATGCAGAGCAATCGGTTGACCAGCACCCAGAAAGGCTCCAGCAAGGTCGCGAACACGGTCGGGATATAGTTCTCGAGGATCTGGAGAACTTCGAAGTTCGTTGTCGGCCGGATGAGACCTGCGCGCTTATCAGCAACATTCGAAGACGATATCTCCTGCAACCATTACCTCCAATGCGCTGCTCCTCCATTTTGAGGTACACAATTGCAACGACTGCTCCGACCATGGCCAAAGTCACAACCGATCCAATCTCTCTCCGCAGTGCTAAAGGTTTGAATGGCGAGTAATGTCCCATAGAGAACGCGGGATCGGGGGGCGGTAGGCTGATGCGCTGGCTTTCCACGAAGTCGGTCCGGGCATCGACGACTTTGATGACGGTTTGTCTGGACGGGGTCTGGCACCCGCATAGCAAGTAAAATCTCATATCCTCGAACGATTCTTGAAGCTTTTCGTCTGGGAAACACCCCTTGCCGGTGAACTTATCCAACATGACAGAGCTGTTCTGACAAATGCTGATCAATGACCCCATCGACGCCGGATCAATCGCCAACTGACTAGGCGCTCTTTTGCCGTGCCACCACAAGAGCATCGAGAAAGTTCCCACCAAGAACAAGAACCCTTCCACAATGGCTGAATAGAGTCGACTGACGATGATTCCTTGTTGCTCATACTCAACTGTTCCGATAGTGGTTGTCTCGCCTGAGGCGTTTAGCATTCGGCGGAACGCAAGTGAGAAAAGCAGCTTATGCGTTGTGTTGAAAGCGTGGCCCAGGAAAGTCTCGTTCTTGAAATCATGAAGTGTCGTGAGGTTTTGCGAGTTGACCGCCGAGCCTACGGCGAATCCCGTCATAGGGTTAGAGGGGCCCCATAGACCATATTGTTTGGTCTGATCGTCCTGCTCAAGCAAGTGATTGAATGCATAGTCTCGCGTGACCGTCATCTCAACCGGCGAGACACCGGCGCCGAGAAGATATTCGAACGCAGAAGAGTTGAACTCAGCTGGCTTGAGCTCTTCTCTGGGGCCTGTCGGTACGATGCTGCCCTCGATGGGCTCGTTGGTTGCAGCGGAAACAGTGGCGTTAACTTCCTGTTTGAAATAACTCGCCTCGCAAAAAGATCCCCTGATATCCTGCGATGAAACTGGTCCTTCTTCGTAGTAAGCCCAGGTAGCCAAGAATTTGTGAACTGCGATCTTATAGCAAGGTATCGACAGCCAATAGTCAGCATAATCACTGGCATGGTAGCCATAGTATTGAATCTTGTATGGCTTGTCGGCGACAGGGGTGGCACCATACGGAAGCACCTCGGTGGCATTGCAGCCGCGACCATCCACGAAAGACCAGTACGGCACCCCAGGGAACATCTCTGCCGGCCAACATTCGATCTCCGTCCAGTACTTAACTGTAGATCCCGTCCAATTTGTTGAAGCAGCTCGGGTAGTGTCGCTGTCCACATGAAATGGCAGGAGTGTGTAGTCGGCAGTTGTGAAGGCCGGAAGTGGCTGTCTCAACCAAGTAATGGCGTACCCTTCGTTGAGTATAGATTGGTCCATGGAATAAATCTGGTCGGAGCTTGGTACAAGTGCTTGTGAGCTGGAGACAGCAACCTCCTCTCGGACATTGATGGTCCCAGTTCCCAGGATGGCACTCTGAAGCGGAGTGATCAGCCAGAAAATCAGAATCATCACGGTACCGCTGTAGAATGTGGCCCAGTGGCTTTATGCTGTTAGAGACGCCCAGTGAAGCTTCGAGTGTGGTACTCACCGTCTTCTGAATGCTCTCAAGGGAGCGAACGCGACAAATTCGTACGGATAATCAAGGAAAATCGAATGCGTTGCCTTGGCACCCTCGGGTCGTGACATTTCCAGCCACGGTTGTATTCTCTTCACATCAAGGTCGATCCAACTCCATAACAAACTGTATATGACGGCAACTATCGTGGGCAGGAAGAGATAGCTGAACTTGACGTAGTAAGGCATGGCATCGATTGAGGGAGACAACGCAAGACCTCCATAACGCTTGCTCTGTTGCGCGTACACTTCGATAATGACGGCCAAGATGAATGATACGAAAGCAAAGGAGAAAAGTACCGCAGCACTGACGGTCAATGGTTTCCATCCGTGCTTATGTCCTGTGGGAAGCATTCGTGTTAGCCAGCGTTGGAACATGTTCCCTGTTGCCGTAGGTGCCAGACCTTTGTCAAGGCTACATTGCTTATCTTTCGACCTGAGCCAAGGAATCGAGTCTCTTAAACTCTTCTTCTCTTCGTGAGACCCATCTTGACTCCCGAAGAATTGAGTCTCACGGACTTCGGGAGACTTGACGCCCATTGGCTCGAAGCAGACAAACGCTGGGTATCGAAATTCAAACGCTCCGAAGAGAGAATGAGAACCAAGGGCTCGATAGTGGCTGAAAGTCCTATGAAACTTCTCACTTGTGTAGAGAACCGTGGGAGCCAGCCACGACTGACATAGGAAAAGAGACAAAAGGAGACGAGAGGGGATGAATGGACCAAAGTGAGGGAGAGCCTGGACTTGGGAGATTGGCCTCCTTAAGGAGGGCGTAGGCGAACCCGGATACTTGGGACGTCGAAACGAACCAGGAGGTTGAACCTGGTTCCAACAGCATATTTCAGAGGTCCAACAACGACCTTCAGCGCGGCTACCTGTGAGTTCGCATGATTTCTCCTCTCGACTAAGCCATTTCCGTAGCCGAATAGCACCTCGCGCCAACATAAGGTTACTTGATCTAGGGTTCCTGCATTGGTCCAGCATTGACGTGGGGCCGCTGGTAGGGGCGTCGAGGAATGAGAGGTGTTGGCTAAGCGCCCGCAGACGATGATCGAGGGGGCGGCCCGGGTGGGGACCGGACCAACAACAACTGCGCCGTCTGCAGAATGCATCGCCACGATCTTCTTCAGCAATTCAGTTGTCAATCTCAGACACGAACATGCGATCTTCAATTCAGCTTCCTGGCTTGGCTCATTGGACGTCGCATTGCATTGTGACAATTTGGGGGCAGATGTGAGTGAGAAGAAGTTGATTCAATGGGAGAGCTTCGTCAACAGAAGATGCTGGGGCCGTTAGGATTAGCCGCCGGGAGCAGAGCCCTCATTGGATCATTCTCTAAGATGTGGATAATCGGCGGGTCTTCTCGAGGCTCCACTACACCTTAATTTAGACTCAGAACCACTTCACAATTCTCGATCTTCCTTTCAATATTCATTCATAATTCATTGTCTTCAGCAGTCGTATGGGAGACATCTCGACACTCATTCATTGCATAACTCATCGGACGGAATGTTGCAAGCTCCACGAAGAATTATGAATCAAGGCAGAGCCTGCTGCGCCAGAACGATACTACGCATGCGCCGCAGGAGTGCAGAAGAGCGTATCAAACCAGTGGCGGTCCCAGGCCAACACCATGGGTGGTTCTGTCGAATCATGAGGTAGAGCATGAGTCTGGAAACCCCGGGTTCTCTGTTCCCATGCCAGGATAAAGAAATGCAAGTTTCGACAACCGCGGCATGGCCGTTGACAGAAAAGCCGCGGGTACAATACGGTTTTGTCGCCACACAATTATACAACTTTCTCGTCAATTCTGTGAAGTGTATGAGAAATGTCGTTCGAGGGCCGCCGAGCCCAAGTGCACTTACGTCTCTCATTCAACTCACTTCAGATTCATTTGTCATACCATTTTCCCCTGTACTGAAGAGCAGTTGCTCAAACACTCGAATGTAAGGACCCAGCGCTTTGCTGGATTTCTGGTCTCTCATATTCGTAGATCTCTGGGTCAAGCTGTCCTAAGCCAAGGCTTTGGACTGATTTTCACCCAGCCTATACTCCAAATATCCTTTTTCATGACCATCTCCAGTGAGCAAGTCGCTACATACTTTCGATTCTCAGGTCTGGGTAAGCCTTTCTTCCCACAAACGGCACTGAGCGGAATGTTTACCTCCTGCTCTTTCATTCAAGCTCTTCCGCATGCTTCTTACATGGAAACCATGCAAAGGTCTGGCAGACACTCATCCGGCGATGTGGATAACCAAGGATTCCTTGTAAGGGGATCTTGTTGGTGATCTCATGGCTCAAAATCAATACGATGTCATGGGTGAATTGAATTGGCCCTCACCGGTCCAGGCGCTGCTCTACACCGAATTCAGCTCGATCAAGCACGATTCGCCCCTTAGCCGTCTACCTTCTTGTAATGCTGCGTGAAATCATATCTCACAGCCAAGCTCCCCAGCATCAACTCCCGCATGTGGTTCTCATCTTTCGCAGCTCGCTGACACATTTGCATGAACCCATCTCTCTCTACCCTAGTACCGGGGTCCTTATCGGACACCCTTCTGAAGTTCTCCTGCGAAATCGGATCAATGATCGTCTTCCACTTCTCAATCCTCTTCTCGCTGTATAAATCCAGAATGCTTTCATCCGCTACCCCATCCCAGATGCCCGCAAGACAGTCGTACAACCCGCCAACATCCACAAATCCGCCGGTGATTCCGAGCCCGCCCCAGGGGTTGCACAGATGCGCGGCGTCGGCAGCCAGCATGAATCTGCCCACCCGGAACTTCGGCGCGCACCGCTGGTGCATGCGGTAAGGGGCGAAGTTGACGACCTTGTACTCTCCCGGGTCAGGGCGTCCAGGCAGCATGACCTTGAACTTCTTCTCCTGGCGTGCTCTGAGCTCTTCGTGCGAGAGGTTGGACTCCTCGCCGTACGTCACGCGGTACATCCCGTCATTCGTGATCTTCGCCGCCATGAAGAAGTGTTCCGGGTGGATGATGAAGTTGGCATCGTCCCAGCCGAACTTCTTCTCGAAGGGGTAGTACGTGTTCGTCGCTACGATCTGAGCATCCCACGTCCAGCCGGGGTACTCCTCCCCAAAAAGCCCCTTTCGAACTGCGCTATTGGCTCCGTCGCACCCGACGATGTAGTCTGCTTCGATTTTCTTCTTCCCCTGTGGTGTTTCAACATCCACCCAGGCTCGTTCGTCATCTTGGCCCAAGCCGACCACACGATGCTCCCAGCTGATGGTTCCGTTGTGTTTCCCCAAGAACTCGTCCAGCATCAACTGGTCCAGATCCTGAAGAACAAGACACGCTGTGCGGAGGTCGTCGCCGTTTATGTCGGAAAGAACGCCCGCATCGAAGCCGGCGATGACACTGTGGTCCTCGAGACGCCGCCAGACGAACGTGCTCACCGTCGGCCCCCGACGTCGGACCTCGTCCAAGATGCCCGCGCGCTTTAAGTCCGGGATGGCGGCTGGGCCGTAGTGGGCGGCTCGTGGTTGCTGGTCGAGATGATCATGAGCTTCGAGGATCTGAACGGGGATTCCCTTCTTTGAAAGTAGCAGCGCCAGGAGCAAGCCCGAAGGCCCGGCCCCCACGATCACGACCTGAATAGCTTTAGAGAATTACTGGAGCAGAAGCTAACGGGGGCATACCTTTTGAAATGGACGACTCATCTCAACTAGCGGAAGGCGTCTCGTTGAGGATCTAGTTGATGTAGGTTTAAACTAACACGCATGATGGGGCGAACCTGTCAGAAAGATAAGTCTTCAAAGAGAAGACAACATGAGGAACAGCAACTCGACCCCGCAATGGAGGGCGAATTGCCGGGGAGAGCATGCCGGCCATGATCCGTTGATGCAACGGTACTTGTTTGCTCCCACGACAAGCCGGGGGACTGTTCCGTCCCAAGTGTTGTCTCCATTTTACTCCAGCCCTCTCCGGCAAACCTCGACCCCGCAGACGTCACCACACGACCGGCCGAACCGCCAACACACATCCCCGCGCTAGCCCCTCACCAGTCGCGGGGTTCGGGGTCACGGCAGATGCAATTAGATTGAGCGAAAGATCGGATGGCTGCCGGCGCCCGTTAGACTTCTTCTCTCCCGTTATGTCGCACATCACAAGCGGGAGATTCGAAAGAGTCCGGAATCTGTCGCGAGACGCCGAGATACACTTGCATGAAATGCATGTCGTCATGTATCACACGCTTCCGCCCGCAAAGCTATACACCTCAGAGCAGATTGCCGTCTTAATAATTGATGACAGTGGTCGGACATTGGACCTCGGTTTGGAAGGTAGGTTGGTTTACATGCAGTTGGTGCGACCCATGTCGATGAAGTGGACGGAGATATTGTTGGTTCGAATCACGGCCGATGTGTGACGAGGTAATTCATGTGCGGAGAACTGATCCGTTGAGGTAGGTCGCACTCCTGCTGCAGTGCCGCGGCCGGCGAGAAGGCCGGGTGCCCGCATTATCTGTCAACCACGGGATTTAGTGGACTGACAAACGTGGTGGCACTCCACGAATTGAATGCCAAAAACGCAGCATTCGGAAGGGTCGCTGCAGGAAACCAGGCATATTTCCCCGAAGCTACCCCGGGCAGCGACCACCGGACGGCCTTCCGGCCCCGAATGGCCCCACTCCGGCACTTTGGCGCTAACAAATTGGAAGAGAAGAATACATGATATTCTCAACTTTGACAACGCCACGACGGCGTTGATCGGATTCTTGGAAGACAACCGCCGACACAGACTTCCGCGTTTCACGAAATTACGCCAGCCTGATTTCTCTCGTGAGCGGGAGGGTCGAGGGAATGACCGCCTTGGACCAAAGTAAACGCCATGCAGCTTTCACTCCACGTCTCCACTCCGACCCCACAACCGGCGCTCTCGCTTCACGATGCCCTCACCCGTCACCCCACACACACACACCAGACGTTCACATATCCCTTCCGCTCGAGATGAGTCATCAAATAACATGGTTTCGTGGTGTAGTTGGTTATCACGTCAGTCTAACAGTTCGAGGTTCGAATCTCGCCTGGTTCACTGAAGGTCTCCGGTTCAAGTCCGGGCGAAATCATCCCACTGGGCGAATGGTTTAGTGGTATAATACTCGCTTAGCATGTGAGTGGTCCAGGGTTCGATTCCCTGTTCGTCCAGCTTTTTGCCCTTTGTGATCTTTTTTGTGGTGTTTTAATTGAGGGGACTGGCGGGATAGCTCTAAACCCGCGGAATAGTCCTCGAGCAGTAGGTTGGGGTGTTACAAGATGTTAGAAGCGTCTTAGACGATAGGTATCACTAACATAAGCACATAGGATAACGAGATAGTGATATGATATAGTGCCAGCGCCACGAGACCTGTAGCGGCCTAGAGCCGCGGACGACTGACTGATTGTATTGACAGTGAATATTTATAGTTGATCGCTGCAGATAACAGATTGTGCCACGAATGGCCAAACGTTCAAACGGCAGAAGGAAGTGATTAAATTGCCCCCCTGTGGATGGCGCTGGCGTCCATAGTCCACGCTCAGTGTGATATTTTGTATTTGTGTGCGCCTGGGTGTTGAGGGATGAGTGGTACTGGGATATATTCTAAAGAAAAGCCGGAAAGCTTCGCAAAGTCTTGAACGATCATGGCTCGTGTTGTACGGAGGAAGATGCAATTTATCATGCCATTGAAACTGCGGATACGACCGTAAAGGGATGCAATGCGATCAGCTTAGACCGGACTTTTGATCTCTGACACTGAATTTACCAAGCCTTCAACTGACATGCGTGTCAGCGTATCCGTATCTCGGATCGATAACCTCTCTACATCCGGCTTCATGCCAAGGCGTCGAGCCTCCGACTGATCGATCTATCGGCGTCCTGTCCCGACAGATGTCTCCGAGGCATCGCACACCAAGCCGTCGCTTACATGCCGCCCCTAACCACCAGCATCTCCGGGACCAGAATAAAGCCGGCCGTCAAAGAATGACGAACCATGGATTGGGGCGTCGGCTGCGTCCTCAAAACCCGCCCATATCCCCTGGCCCGGAACATTCACTACCCAGCCGACCCGAGCCCCACGACAGATGACGGGACACGTTCTGACAAAAGACTTCGGGCACGCCAAGTCAGCATTAATCACCCGGCCAAAGAGCCTCCCGAAACCACAACGCCCCAGAAGCATGGACCCAGCAAAGGCACCCCCCGACCTGCTCGACCACCGAATTTGCACCGAGCTCAGAACTCGGAGAGCCGCGCTGCTGCTACCCTCCCATCCCTTTCACCCCAGACCCAGAACCCCCACGTTCTCTATCTTTACTTCTCGACTCTATCTTTACGTCGTGTTTGATCGCCATGGACGCCAAGTCGTCACAGCTGTCAAGGAACTTACAATCTCACCGCACCAAAATAACATCGCACCAGCTTGCTAGAAGAAGATTTTCGTGTGCAACAGTAAAGATAGCTATTTTTTTTTCCAATTTGAGCAGGCTTCTCAAGTCGTGTTTTGCTCCCCCGGTACTCAAACTCTTCCTCCCTTCTCTCAATTGCTTGTCAGGGTGAGGATAGTAGCTATATGTGAGGAACATGGTGACTTTTCAAAATCGTGCTTTATTTCAGCGGGTCAAGAGAAGCAAGAAGAAATGGTTGTGTTTCTCTGTCTTTGGTGGTATCATACTCCTCGCTTTCCAGCACGATTTTTCAGGCCCCAACCCACTCATTTCCTCCCCATCGATTCGCATGCTCTCAGGCATGATGCAGACTAAGAAAAGGTGACAAGAAACGTTTGATGAGAGAAGAGAAGTAAGAAAATGGGTTACCAGTTAAACAATACATAAAAAAGTCTTCGACTCGACTCCTGAAACCCCGTCGGGAATATATATAATATGACATCATATATACAGGCTATCTATCTAGCCAGAGAAGTGAAAAAAATGTTTTTGTCGGTCGGATAGGGGAGGAGTTTGAGAGAGTGAAGAGTCAGAAAGAAAAAGAAATGGAGGTCGACATTGATCGAAAACTGGCTGCTTCTGCTTGACTAACCCCAAATTTCGTGTCGTAAAGCGAACGTATCATGCGCTCTTTCCTCCCCTTTCTTTGCTTTTTTCTTCGTGACCTTCGGGATTAATCAACACGCACCCGTCACGTCCTTTTCGAGCCCACCTACTGGGCCACAAGACCAGACCCCAACTTACGGAACGCGCTTACGAGATGGTAAGCACCATAGGACCAGCCACGGTGATGTCATCGCTGAGCACGCCGCTCATCGGGGACTGGTTCGTGAGGGAGACGTAGGTGATGCCGCTGAGACCCTGAGGAACGACGCAACCTTGCTGAGGAGTGAAGGGGCTGAAGGTGGTGCCACCGGGCTGAAGGCCACCAGTGGTGAAGGCGCAAGCCTTGGCCTGGGTGGCGCTGTCGGCCTGGAGCATGATGGGGGCGCCGATGGCAACCGCGCTGGGCTGAGCAGGGGCGGTCATCGTCAACTTGGGGAAGGGCTGGAGAGCCAAGTTGGAACCCTGAGGGCAGGAGGTGATGAAGGGCGCGGCCAGGGAGAAGACAGCACGAACGCCAAGGGGAGCATCGAAGGCCTGGGGGATGGCGATCTGCTTGGAGGCGGCGCGGATGAAGGTCTGGTGGCGAGCCTCGATGGTGAGGATAGAGCCGGCGGTACCGAGGATAGCCTTGTCCTTGACGAGGGGAGCGGCTCCCAGGTAGGCAGAGACACCGACGTTCTCGAGGACGGCGGCGGTCTTGACCATGCCGGCGGCATCGGTGAAGCCAAAGTTGTACTGGCAGGGCTGGACGGGCTGAGTGCCGGCCTGGGCAATCGCAGACTGCAGGAGAGAGACGTGCGACAGTTCGGTAGCGCCGACTTGTTGAAGGTCGTTAACCTGCTCCATCGAGAGACCCAGAGCCATGAAGTCCTGTGCGGGGAACTTCTGGAAGCCTTGCTGGTAGAAAGTGCCCTCGAGCCATTCCAAGGTAAGAGCGCTGTGAAACCAGTGTTAGTTGTCATGTCCCATTGTTCCGCGCTTGCATGTCCCGGCATCCACCAAATCTCTACTCACAATTGCAGAATGTCGATATCCGTCAATCCAGCAGCGCCGGCACCGGCCTGTTGTCTCTTGGCCAAGTCGTAGATCTTCATCTGGTCCTTGTTCAACTTGGGGCCGAGGGGCACGGCGGTGGCCACGGCGGCCAGGGCGGCGACGAGGGCGGTCTTCATTGAAGGCATGTTGATTATGTGTGGTGTGGTTCTTGCAGCTTTACTTTTCCTTCCTAAGTTTCCTTTCGGTCGGCCTGTTCTCCGGGGACAGTGATATCGAGCGGTAGTAAAAGTATGTCGATCGGTGCCACCTGGGACGGTCGATTGTTGTTGATGTCAGAGAAGAGAAAGATTACAAGAATAATTAAATGTCGTCCGAGGGAGTGACAGTTCGTAGTAAGAGGTCTCGAAGGGAAAGGAGGGTGTAAGCAAAACCGGTGGACCCAGGAAAGCAGACCAGCGCTTTTGGAGATTGGAAGAAGACACACAGTGAACGGGATGAGGAGGAAAAGAAGAGAGGGGTAGGAGAAGCAAACGAGGGAAACAAAGTAGTTAAAGAAAGTTCACGAGCTCATCGATGGATGGCCACCCCCATCACCCATGGCGTATCTCGCAGGCGGCGCATGGCCCATTCTCGCCATCAGGCACTCGGGAGGGGGTCGGATCGACTTGGGTCCTTGCTGGGGACTGTCTGCGGCTAGCTTTCTTTCCGTCGTCGGTTCACACGGGAGCCCACTATGCGGGTAGCAAGATACGCTCGACCGCGAAGCTTCAGACGTGGGACTGGACAGGGGTACGGTTGACGGGGTACATGGTACCTTGCAGGAAGCAGGAGGCTGCTCCTGGGTGGTGATGAGTTGCCGCTGGGCAACTGAGGCGGGCTTTGGTCTTGGTATCCGTACTGGGCAAGCGTGTAGTGTAGTGTTTGCCTGGGGTATGGGAGTATGTGCGCGTGTAGGGGAAGGGGGGATCTAGCGGACGAGACAGTGAAGCACTGAAGAGGAGAGGCGTGGGAGTGGGAGTGGGAGTGGGAGTGAGAGTAGGAGTGAGAGTGGAAGTGGGAGGCAGACTAGGCCCCTGGCCAATGTCGTCAAGGGGGGTGCATGGTGAGAGATTCAAGGTTGAAAGTTCAGATGGCAGCAAGCCTCTTACTGCCTCCTCCCCCTTCCCTTCCTTCTTCCGAGAGCCAGGCGGGCGACGCCAAGCACGGAATTCGCAGTGAATCCGGACAGTGGGAGGCAGGAGGGGAGGGTCGTAGGTGCGATGGAGTAAGTAAGCAGGCCTTTTGGCTGTGTGTGCCTGTTTCGTTTCCGCTGCGGTTCAAACAAGCTCGACGAATCAGCAGAAGGTCGCTCGGACAAGGCACCAATCAGAAGCACGAAATAGGTGGAAAAGAGAGGGGCAAAGCGAGCAAGATGGAATCAGGGGTGGAAAAAGATGGGATAGCGACAGGGGAGGGCGGTCGCTGAGGACGTTGTTGTGTGAGAAAATGAGAGGCCTCTATTGGGATGAAGCCCGTTTCTACACCTGTCCAAGCATCTGAAAGGTTAGCGCGGGTACAAAGTAAGGGGGGGGGTAGGAGTAAAGTAGGGTTTATTCCAAGGTTAGTTTTACTATTTAATCTATTTAACTTTAAGGTTACTTTTCCTATTTTTATTATAAAATCTAGTAGTAAGTACCTCTATCTTTAATAACCCTAATATACCCTTATTAACTAACACTTTAATAGATCCCCTTAAACCTTTCTTAGTAAAGCTACTTTATTCTCTTAATAGATATTAATAACTTTATTAATAATATACTACCTATTCTTAAAAGTATTACTACTATATATAGTAGTAATAGCCCTCTTTATAGTATATATAATATATTAATTTATACCTTACTATTAGTAGAGCGCTTTTTTTACCTCTAAGTATATTACTAAAGTATATATACTATATTAAGTTTTTATTATTATAATAAACTATTATATAGTAAAAAGCTTTCTTATAATAACTACCTATATATATATATATATTATAAATTAATATAAGCTATAACTATATTATAATTACTAAAAAGATTAGTTTTACTATATATTAAATATAAAAAGCATACTTTCTTAACTTTATACTTTACTACTATATTAGTATAACTTAGTAATATATACTTAATACTTTCTATAATAAGATCTACTACTACCTTAAAGATAAATATTACTAATTAATACTTTAAACTAACCTATAATAGCTAATCCTTAGCTTTAAACTTTATAATAATTATATTATTAATACTATATTAAAAAAAATAAGCTATAGAAAGTTAAAATAGATTTAGAAGATTAAATATATTATTACTAATAAGTATTAATAAGTTCTCTTTAGTTAAAAATACCTTAACTATTAGCTTAACCCTAAAAACTAAAAAGTAGGTCTTATTACTTTTACTAATAAGATATAAGCTATTAATAGCTTTATATAGAAGTAATAAATTATAATCTATAATACTAAAGATCTAAAAACTTAAGTTCTTATTTATTAGAAACTTTATAATTAGATATTCTAAAGATTAATCTATAATATTAAAAAAAACTTAAGTTATTTCTAAGAGAAAAAGTATAATAATATTAACACTAAGAAATATTAATACTATATTTTACTACTAATAAAAGACTTTATATATACTTATTTAAGTATAATTTTTTAATAAGATAATACTCCTATTTATACTATAAAAACTATAAAAGCTTAGCTACTTTAGAATAATATTAAATTCTTAAAATAGCTACTTAGATTACTTAATTTTTTATTTAGTAAGAATATATAAGCTTAAATAAAATATTAAGTTAAGCTTAACTATAATATTAAAAGCTTTAAACTCTTAGAACTATATACTACCCTCTAAGTAATATAAAATATTATTCCTTATAACTTCCTTATTACTTTAGTTTACTTAATAGTTTAAAAGCTTTAAAAATATATTAAAAGAGGTAATAAGATAGTCCCTTACTAAAAAATTAAGATATTAAAAGATTACTTAGTAGAAGTATTAGAAATAAGTAACTTATATAGATATATTCATTTTATAGTAAATATAGCTATTTTAGAAATACTTATTATATCAAGTTAACCCCCTAGTAATCCCATTTATTCTAACCCACAAAGTACTACACTAACCTTTCAGATGCTTGGACAGGTGTACTCGTAGATACGACCCCTGCCGAGCTTGTTTTTGCGCTTCTTTTTTCCCGACGACCTTTATTTTGCAGGCAAGGGTCCATCGTCGCCTGCAGGCTTGCATGCCCCAGAAGTGTCCAGGAGGGACCAGGCCGGGGGAACTTGCAGGAAGGACACCTGGAGAGAGAGGCCTTGGGGGAGTGCTCGCCACTGTTTGGCAATGTAGCCGAACCAACTTTGTTGCATCGTGACCCCCAGCCAAGAGCAAGAGACCAACCCGGGTCACGAACGGGCCGTTGACCGAAACCATTGTGATACGTCTCCCACGTCAGAAACCCCGGTCCGCCCTCGCCCAGGCCCCTCCTGTCATTGGCATCTCTCGACCCGTCTGATTGGCCGATGCTGCTTTAAGAACCCCTGCTTAGGTAGATATGCCCCGTTCTTTCTGAGACCCGCAAAGGTACGTTCCCTCACGCATCTCATCTGCAGGAACGTTCTCTCGGTAACGTCTCTTTCCAGTCCTCAACCGCGCTTCATGGGCAACCTTTCCTCCACCGCGTCCTCTACCGGCCTCTTGTTCCCGTCCATCCCAGACCACCTAGACCAGACAATCACTCACACAACATGTATGTACTCACGGCCTCCGGCTGCCGTTGATGGGCTTAGCGCTGGCGTCCAACCAAACCCCCGGCGCAGGGCGACGCCAAAGTGCCTCCTACCTGGCTGTCTGCGACACGGAAGAGCAGATCTCATTTCCACTGGCGTCGACTATCTTCTGACGTTGCCGAATGCACCAGCTGCAAATTCCGGTTGAGAGCAACGCATCGTGCCCTTCAACTGTCGCCCAGGGTGTCACGTTCCGCCTGTCTAGGGCCCATGATCTGCAGAGCCGGCCGTGGTGAGGCAGCCATCTTGAACATGCTAATCGACCTAATCGACGCCTCGCGATCTTGACAGAAGATGCGATGCACTGGCCCACGACCGCATGGCCATCCAAAGCATGCCATGGGTGGGAGACGCAGGAAACAATCCAGCCTGACTCAAAGGGTCGAATCTTGTCAAAGACGATGTCTGACTCAACGAGATGAGCAGGAAACAATCTGCTCTTTCATTCAAAAAGTGTCACGATTCCAACCCTCGCGCAACAAGACCCCGGAATTAGCCATGTGCAGGCGCCAACGCCCAATGCCAATATCGAAAACTCTTCGCGCGTTTCCCTTGGTTTCGCCGTCCCAATCCCAAGGCCCGCAACACGAAGGGAACGCTTCTGCAACCAAGAACCAAAAGCACTGACCCCGTCGCCACACTTCCCCTGCCCCTTCCCAGGCTTCCCAAGAGGCGGCCCTCAACTTCCTGCTCATTTTACCACCAAAACGACGGCCTGCTAATACACTAGCCACTTAAGCTTATCCAAGCCATGGAACACGTCCAGCCGCACACGAGGGCAGGCCTCGGCGGTCACACCAAGAGAAGGCTTATTGTCCCTCGCATGTGTGTGCGACATCAGGCTGCAAGTTATCGTCGCTGTGGGTGATCACCAAGCATCCAATAGCTTGGCCAAAACTTGCCGTTCTCCTCTCATCTCGTCAACAAACACACTAAATCACGGGAACGAACGCAAAAGGCTTGCCTGCTTCCCCCCTCCACCTTCGGCCCATTTCCAATGACACCGGATGGACACACTAGACCAGTCCAAACCATTCAAACACTCTCTCCCATTTCGGCAATTCAAGGCCTCACAGGGCTTGCACCACCGTTTCAAACCCACCATCGAGGCTTTAAACCATCCCATCGCCCACTGCAAGCCACACACACAAAGCGAGCGATCCGGCTGACTCTTGGAATGGAACAGTGGCCATGATCAACTTAAAGCACGCCTCCATTCCGTCTACCCGTGACCCGAGTCGTGTTGGAAAGGTGCCACGCTTGCCACGCCCGTCAAACCGCCTGCCCCATACCCATCCCGCAGGCCCGCCAAACAAAAAACTTCCGAAAGCCTCTCCTCCTCGCATGCCAACCCCTGCTTCTCGA